CCTGAATGAGCACCCCCAGGACCCCAGTCCTGGAGCTGTGGCTCAGCTACCCTGACCTGGCCCTGGGACCTGGCTGGCAGCAGAGCCCACCCCCGCCCCCCAACACAACATGATGGTATGCCGCAGAGGGCAAAGCTCTGGAAGGTCTCCACACTCACTCCCTGGCCTGAGGCAGAAGCACCAAGCTGAGCTTCACTGACGTGGCAGTTCCGGGCTGGGTGGATTGTCCAAATACTGGGGTAACTTTCAGTCTGATTTTGGCTTCCCCAGCTATCTAGCTTCTTCCAAACCCCTGCTTTCAACAGGTATCTCCAAGGAATGACAATTAGTCCTTCTAATTTCCTAAGAAAACCATACTCCAGAGTTGTCTGCTACTGACTTCTCAGTCTGTGTGCCAAAGTTCAGCAAAGTGGCTGAGAGACAGGCTCCCCTTCCTATTTTCTGGGCCACTTCCCCCATAATCCAAAGATAAAGAACCAGAGTCTACCTCCCCTGGCATGTTCTGGGCCACAGCCATAGAGTTTCTAGGGCCTGTCCACCCCACTCGCGTTGGAGACCAGGCTTGGCTTTACCACACAGCTCTGTATTCTGGGAGCCCAGCACTGTGGGGGCCCCGGGAGTTCATTCCCTCTACATCTCATGGACCTGCATGCCCTTTTCCTTCCCCCGGTGCGGCGTGCTCAAGGGGCTGACAGCCAGTATTCCAAGAGCGCTCCTGTTTTCAGAATACATCCAAAGTCAAAACATTTCCAGGCAAGAGAACAGCCATTAAACTACGTTCAAGGACAAAGAGCCCTCAAGGGCCACTACTTAAAGGGACTAAGCAAACTGTACCTCAACAACCCCCTAGCTCTCCCACAAACACCCTTGGAGGCTCTCTTAACATTTCCCAGCCAAGGACTTCACATCTGTCACAACAATGCCTGGAACCAAAAGACCGGGACCCCTAGCTCAGAGTCCTTGGCCTTGTAACAGTTAGCTCTGGGAGCAACAGCTGAGGTGCTCCATATGCCCCCTGGGAGAACCCATCCTGCCCTGGAGCACCGGGAGCTCTGCCTTGTCTTCTTGCTCCGGCCAGCTGTCAGCTGCCTCGCACGGCAGCTTGGGCTTAGATCCTCAGGCCCTGGTCTGAAGGTGCAGGTCACCAGTCACCCTGGTGCTGTCTAGGGTCGGGCCAGAACCTCAGTGGCCTACCCAGGATACTTGCTGTCTCCAGCCCAGGGCTGTATGATCCCACTAGGACCATAGAGCCTAGGGAAGGAGACACGAGCACTGGATTGAGTCTGGGAGTTGATACTGAGTGTGATCTCTTTCTTCTGGATCATTTGCAAGTTGCCACAAGCCTGGAGAAGTGGATTGGGATCTCTGGGCTGGAAGGGACTGTGGTGCTCAGCTCACAATGGTCTTGGTCTCCGATAGTCTTGGGTGAGTCTAGACCCCTCCCCAGGGCTCACACCCAGTGGACCCATAGCTGTCCTCTCTTGCTGGGGAAAAGGAGAATAGGGGTCCAAGGCCCTACCAACAGGTGCCCATCCAGAGGAATGAATGAATGAATACATGGTGTCTGGAGGAAAGGACACATCAGGATCCTGTGGAGGGCAGCCCAGACCCCAAAGGGGAGACCTAGCTGAATAAGCCATGTGTGAGCAAGTGACTTCTCCTCCTCTGAGCTTCGGTTTCTCATTTGTGACAAGAGGGATGGGCTTAGAAGCCCAGACAGCTACCTTCTAGCACCAACAAGCAACAAAGCTCCTCCCACTTAGGTGAGGCAGTCCCCAGGTTGGCCAGCACCCCTGGGAAGCCAGGCTCAGGCCACTAACTCTGCCAGCATTGCTTACCCAGTCACTTGTGGGGGTGCACTAAGGTAAGGGAGGCGAGGTCACAGCCCAGAAGTCCCGGCACTGAACTAGGCCATAGGAAATAGGATTGCTCCTCTCTTGGGACCGTGCACTTAATTTCTGTAGCCTGGAGAAGCCTGGGAAGAGAAGCTATAGGTTGCAAGAGACTGGAAGCTATCTTGTCCCCAAACCACTTAACAAATGTTCCACAAAACAATCAGATGTTGAACCCCAGGGTATCTAGAAACTGACTCGTGGGCACACACTTGTTACCCAGGTTCTGAGGCAGAGGCCGGGTGCCCCAAGCACACCTCTAGGAAAAGCTGAGCCCACATGGACTAGAGCCGGGCAGTTACGACTCAGAGACCTCCAGCTCAGAAAACCTGGCTCCCAGAGGTGCCTCCACATGAAGTCAGGCACTTTTAGAAGGCAAAGACCCCCCCGCCCACAACTAATCCCAGCTGTTTTCTCAGAGCAAAATGGCAGACCACGGACTGCTCTGACCAACTGGGTACAGGTTGGGCCTGAAGACTTGGAGACCACATTTAAAAGATGGGAATATCTCAAATAAAAATCCAGACTTCCAACTTCTCCAGAAATTACAATAGTTCTGGTAATGCTGTGTCCACATACCCCCTTGACCATCATCAGCTGGCCTGAGCAGCAGCTGACCCCTGAGTGGGCAAATCCATCCCCAGCCCCACCTGTGCCCAGCCCCTTAACAGGCTCCTCAAATACCTGTCTCTGACATCAGAGAAATGGATCTTTTCCCTGTGCCTTTCTCGTAAGTATGAAAATGACATAGAGACCAAGAGGGTTATGTGCCTCAAGAAAAGTAAGCAAGAGCTCGTTAGTATCTGGTGAAGTGAAGACAATGCCTACCCACATTCAGCTCGCTCATTGTCTGCCTGACACCTGAGTTGCCCCCTGCCGCAGCACATAACCGCCGTCAGGAAGAACTTCCCATGGGGTACACAGGCTGCCCAAACAAGTGCCCTACAACACATAAAGATACACCCTAGTTTGGTGAGCACCCTGTGATATCTGTCACCGCTGTAAGCTCTTGCACACCCCAAGCTCCACCCCCTTGACCCCCTCAGCGAGGGCAGCATCAAAGGAAAGCCTGTTTCTAATGAGGCAGACACAGGACAGGCCCCAGGTGTCAGAGTCCAGCCAGAAAAGTCTAGGGAAGGGCTGGAGGGCAGTATGTACCAGTGAGGGATGAAGAGGGATGACAGATTTACCTTTACCAGCCCCTGCCACCAGCCCCTGCCTCTGTCCTGGGTCAAAACTCAGAAGACACAAGGCTCTGCTCTGTCTCCCTCTCACCACGGCCCTGGGCCTCCCAGCTGCAGACACTGTGCCCTCCCTGCTCAGCGACCTGGCCCTCTCGCCCTTCCTCGAGCCACTGCAGGCCTCCTCCAGGGCCCCAGCTCAGCTAGCCAGAGAGCCCAGCCACAGGCAGCCACGGCAGAGACATGGGAATCACGTACAACTCATGAGGCTGGAGGGAGCAAGCAAAGAACATTTATAAAAGAGGTGGTTACTCTCAGGAGTTGAGCTGGTCCCCACCAAAGCAGAGAGGATTTGGCAGACAGACACAGAATTGCTCCTCTGCCCAGACCAGTTCCTTAACTGATCCACAAGTCCCATTGGTCATCTCCTTCCCGAAGCCCCTTCCAAATGGGACTCTACCTCCGTAGCTCCCTATCAGCCTACTCTGTCCTGTGAATATGTTCCAAGGCCACTCGGGGGGGGGGCACTCTACGTGGCCCCTGGAGCTGAAGGAAGCATGAGGAAGCACACGGGGGGCCAGAGCTAGACAGAGGTAAGCCAGCTGTCTAAGTGAAGGGATTTGCCCAGCTACCTGGACCACTCAGAAGTGGCTCTGGGCCTCAGGGCCCCAACACCTACAGAGGAAAATCCAACCCCAGGAGCATGGCTTGCAGGGTTGCAGGGCCTTCAAGTGTTGGCCCCTGCCGGGCACCTCCACGTTATCTCGGGGCGCCCTCATGGGCACCCACCATACCAACCATTCTCCAGACAAACCTCCTTCTCCTCCCCTCTCCCGACGCTCTGCATGTGCTTTTCCTTAGGCCTAAAATGCCCTTCTTTCCCTTCTGGAGACTCCCCAGGGAAGCTACTTCATGCCCTCATTCAGCCTCCAGAAACCACATTTGCGCTGCAGATTGCCACTGTGTGTGTGTGTGCGTGCGTGTATGCGTGTGCGTGTGCATGTGTGTGTGTGTCTGACTTACCACCTGGAGGGGGACCCCTTGAGGACAAGAGACCCCAGATCTTAATGCAGAACAAGCAGGGGACCCTCTAGGAGGAGTCTCTCCCACCACCTTTATTATCAAGAAAAAGCCTACAGCCTATAGCCTACACCTGTACCTCCCCTCCCAGACCCCCTGTGATAGACAAGCCCCAAGAGCAGCACAGACCCTCACTGCCCCAGACCCCGTGTGGAAGCCAGCCCTGCTCCTGGCCAGCACAGCTGCCTAGCCTCATCCCAGGAGGAGTGGGTTTGAGGCCAGGAAGGCAGAGACGGTGGATGGCCACATTCATCCAGTGGGGATGCCCCAGAAGTCCCCAAGGAATTCCTCTCTCTGGGCCTGACCAAACATCCCTAATGGTTTGCATCCTTCAGACAACAACAGCTATTAAGAAGAGAGCAAACCCTGGAAAATCACCAATCCTAGCCCTGCAGACCTCTGACGTCAGGAGTCGCCAGGGAGGCAGGCAGGCACGCTGCATGTATGGAGAGGGCCCTTGTAAGCTGGGACAACTGCCCGTCAAGGCCTCACCCACAAGCTGCAGGTTAACACCCAAAACTGTTACCAAGAAGAAGCCACCTGTGAACACAGAGTGGTCCCTTGTGACACAACCACCTCTCAGACAAGCCCCCAGCCAGTGAGGTGATGCCTACGATCTCAGGCCACGTAGAAGTCAAACAAGATAGCACGTCGGGGAGCAGATGCTGTTCACGACCCTGACCGTGACCAACAGGAGAGAAGGAGCCACACTTGCCCGAGGTATAAGGACGGGCGGAACTGAGAAACCAGGCCAGCCAGACCATCTCCGCGACCCCTTGGGGACAGCGCCTGGCCGCGCCAGCCAAACCCCAGCCCCACCCCACCAGCCAGCATAGACAAAACGTACCTTTCAGGGAGGCAACATGTGACAGGGCCTGGGCGTAGGTGGCCGTGTTCAGGAGGGTCCCCGGCAAGCAAGAAGGGAAGAAAGGTCCTGTGGGACCCACAGTTCTCCCCAGGCTGCTAGAGAAAAGAAAATCACACTGAGTTCCCAACCCTGTGTACCCGCCAAGCCTCCAGACCCCAGGGGCCCACCAGCCTCACCTCTGCTGGGCTTCCAGGGCCTCCTTCTTGCTCCGGGCCTGGTCCCCCGGGGGCGGGGAATTGATGTTTCTCACGGGAGGTGGCGTCACTTCTGCCATGGGCTCCTTGGCTCCTGGCTCTTGGTCGGAAGCCCCTCTCTCCGTTTTTCTCCATTTGGCCCTTCGGTTCTGGAACCAAACCTGAGTTCCCCGTGGAAATGCACATCCATGGAGGCAGAAAATCAGACAGGAGGAGGGAACAAGTACCCAAACCCAAACTCCTGGGTCCTGTCCCCAGTGCTCACGGCTCACCTTGCAGCAGCTGTGGGGGGGGGGGGCAGCCTCCTCTCTCCAAAAGATGTCCCAAAGCAGTGCCCTCTGGACTGCAGCTTCAGACCCAAAGATGGGCCAGAAGATCAGTGTAGAAGGCATGACAGGCATTTTTTTAATGAATGTTAAATAATAGAAAGTATCCAAATGCATCACCCACAGTAAGGGTGCAAGTGTTGTAGAAATTCTTGACATATCCAAGTGCATTTATTTGATGTGAAACGTATTTCCTATGGTTGGGGGGAGGGGACATGATCATCACAGCAGTTTGTAAAACACTGCCCTGGGGTTTCCTCATCAAAAAGGCTCATTCCCTCTTAGGCAGGTTTGCCTGAGCACTGGACTGTGTCCGGCCTCAGACCTGTGAAACCATCTCTGACACATCAAAACTCATGACAGGCAGCCCAGTGCACGCATGAGACACAATGCCTCTGGAGTCAGGCCTGGTTTGGTTTAGAATCCACCCCGACCCTGTAAGGCAGGTAGGTCTATCCCCATTTCACAGATGAGAAAACTAAGCACAGACAGGTTAATTAACTGGCCCAAGGTCATTCAGGTGGTAAGTGGCAGACCCATGATTTGAGGACCAGTGGCTTGGCTAGGGAAGAGATCCAAACTCCTTGGGAGTAATAATGGTGGCCACCCCCTAAGCATTGTTAGCCCAGAGACACATGAAGAACACGGAGCACTGTCGCCCGACACACAGCCATCAGTCACTCGGTAAACATCAGGCAGCCTGATCCTTTGCCATGCTCAGGTTAGGAGGAGCCTTACGATGCACCTGCCCTAAGTGCCTTCTGAGAGACTGGTGTGGAATTCTGCAAGCCTTAGCAATCAGGATGGCATCTGCAGAGGGACAGCCTTATGGCAGCCGGGCAGACAGGGCCCAAGGTGTTCCCAGAGGTCAGTGAAATCCTGCTGCTCTTTACCCAGCAGAACCTCGTCCCTTCTCTCCTGGGAGATAATTCCTGGCTTTCAAAAAAGGCCTGGCTCGACCTCCCTCTAGCCCCCCACCCCGGGGTAACCTCCCCTCCTCCCGCCTCACACTGGCCCAGGAGAAAGCCTGGGTCCCGGGGCTGAGCCCTCCGCCATCCCACCCCACTTCTGAATTTTCATTCTCCTTTAACTGGGTTTCTTTCTTTTTTAATCCAGTTGGCTTTTAATTGCACATATCAGCAACCATTGAATAATGATTTTATCTATATTCTAAATTTAGGGCAGTTAAATGCAAAGCAAAATGCAGACACTTTCTTGTGTCTTAATTGAATGAAGGTCACAGCTATAACAACATTTAATTGAGCTATTTTTCATTATCATATTTTAATGACTTTGCACTGACAGTTCGCCTGCTTCTGAGGAAAGAGCATGATGGAGTCGTTTATTTCCCTATTTAGTTATTGTTTGACAACATCAGCTTCGATTAAGCCCCTGCTTTATAGAACATTAATCATATTTGAATGAGCAAGGGGTATAAATGTAAACACATCTCCCTTCCCGCCACCGAAGCCTGCACTCCCCACACAGAGGCTCGCTGAGCAAATTCCACGCAGCCATTGTCTGTTTGCATAATAGCCAACAACAACCTGACCAACAATTCCCAGCCTTAATTGTTACCACCCCTATCGCACCCTTGCACCTTTCAGGGAGAAGTTATGATCTTCCACTCTGAATGCTCAATAATTGTGTCATTTATCTCAATTTGCAGTTCAGTCTTTAGGCCGCTATTGGCAAACTGGCATTAAAAAAAGAAGGGAGAGACAACATCCTGGCCAAAGGAGATTTTCATTTCCAAATAATAATCAGTTTAATTTGCCCACATATGACCAATGATTCATGTTCAGATTTAATAATCAGGATCACATAATCTGATTATAGGGGAAATAATTTGTTTACAACCCCCAATTTACTGCTCAGAATTCCATTATCTCTCTTCAGCCATTGGTTTTTAAGAGATACTAACATGACCCAGGGGAACCGAAAGCAAACTATTATATTTCCTACAATTAGATCTTTGCATAGTCTTAACCCCAAGCCCCTACATAAAAAAGAACAGAAACAGCATGGAGGAAACCCCATAAATAAAATGAATATATAATTGTGCTCAAAGAATAGCTCTCCCGGAGAGGCGGCGCTGCGAATCCATTCCTCCTGCACTCGGGCACATCTGCCGGGCTCAACGGGTTTGTGCACTTAAACGTAATCACCGTGTGGCTTCTAAAAAGAAATCCTGCTTAGAGACGGTCACCGCGGGCCATGCTCGGCTCGGAGGCAGCCCTCTCGCTGCTGCCTTTTAAAGATTTTTAAATTGCACAAGTTCTTCGGATCCACTTCGCTGAAAGAGTCCGCGTCCAGGGGAAAAGTTGGACATGATGCAATTTCTGGAAAGCAGGTCCTACCCTGTTCCCATCTGAAAACATAGTTCTCTGCAATTGAGCGGCCTTACCCCAGAGCGGTCAGAGCTGCTTTGAGAATAGCATCTCAGCTCTTTTTTTTTTTTCCAAAGCAAGGAAATGGATGTGCATTGATGTAATTTAGTACCTTAGAGACGCGGACAAATTAGTGTAGAACATTATCACTAGTTAATTATGAATGACCGATTAATCAACCTAATCTAATATTCCACATTATGTTGATGTTATTAAAGTGCATCATGAAAATGACAGATAGTCTTCATTTGCTTTCTTTGGCCAAATGTGCACTCTGCAGTCATGATGTCAAAAAAAAAAGTTTGCCAGTTTTAATATTAGAGAGTTAAATAATTAAAAAGAAGGTTTACCTGCACTCTGGCTTCTGTGAGGTTTATTTTCATGGCTAGCTCTTCTCTGGTGAAGACATCGGGGTAGTGTGTTTGGGCAAAAACTGCCTCAAGAGCTTCCAGCTAGTAAAAGGAAAAAATATTTACTGGTGAGAGGCTGTGGCAAGGTGAGAGAAAGCAGATGCATATTTCAAATTTGCAAGGAGCGGTGAGGAAGTAGTTGCACAGATCAAGTAGGGGAGGAAGAGGGAGAAGAAAGCTCTTTGAAAAGATCCCACAGAATTAAAATTTTTACCACGGGTGACTTAGGAGCTAAGACTCACTAACGACATTGGTGCTTCCCCAAGAAATAAGAATAAGAAGAGAAGCACAAATATTTATATGCTTTTCCATTTAAATAGATTCATAGGAATCAAAGTCTCTAAGGGTGGTCTTATGAGTCAGAGCAATCCACACAGCCTTCCCCATAGGACACAGGAGAACAGGAACAACTTGCAGAAGCCCTCACTGTGTCAGGCCCCCAGAAACTCCCAAGAGGTATTTGGGCCACCTTCCTGACAGCTCCAGTTTGCACAGATCTCAGGGGAAGAACCCAGGTCCGGGAAACACAGTATGAGGGTCCCACCTGTAGCCCTTCCATTGATGGACGGAAATATCTTCTACAAATCAGTCAGTTTCTTGGGCCCCAGTCTTCCCATCTATCTGCTGGGATTAAGAATGTCCTACCTGCATTTCTCAACATTCAGATGATATTGCTGATGTGGAAATGTTCCCCCAAACTACCAACCTAGGGCAAATGTGAGCGATCACTATTGTCCCTTTATTTCCTGTCTGGGATCAGAAGATCCAAGTCATCTGCTCTCTCCCCAAACAGATTTCTTGACACATAAAGCACTCAAGAAAACGGAAAGATCCAGTTTCCATAGTTGGCTTTATTTTAAAAGACAAAGAAGAGCTGCTCAAACTCTGAAATTTTGGGAGGCAGGAAGTCGCTGACTCTCAGAAAGGGAGCGCCGTCATTACCTGCTGAAGAGTAAACGTCGTCCGGTTCCGGCGCTGTTTTCTGCGCAGAAACCCATCATCGAAATCTCCTGGAGAGTGGTTGCCAAAAGGTGCAGTGCCTACTGGGAGCAAACTGAATCAGCCTGACCAGAGGGCCTCCCTGTCCTCACACCGACCCTGGACACACATGCTCATTTGGACGCACCTCCAGGCAGAGTCCTGTCTGTCCCAGAGCATCTTTCTCTGCTGCTCTCATTGGGGCCCCTTCTCTTCCATTCTCTCATGCTCGCTCTCTCCTCCAATAACCTTTGACTTTAGGCCCCAACTATGCTTATTTCATCGGGCAGGTGGTGACCTTCCCCCCCCAAGAAGACCAAATCCGCTTTTCTTGTGAAATTCTGGACTCTGCCAGGAAGAATCACCGGCTTGCGGCAGAGCCTTCACTTGCCCTTTGGTTTCCAGCTGCACCTGCATCCAATGTGCCTTGAACTCATCCCCTACCTCGGATTCTTTCAGAGAAGCCTCCACAGCTCCTGTCTCTCACCTGCTAGTTTACTTTCCCTTGTTTCTGTAAACAACAAGGCTGACCGGCTGGGGGTTGGGGAGGAAAAAAACACCAAGCGCTTTCACTGCCCATTTCTCCTAGAACTTCAGGATACAAGGAGGTAAGAAGTTTATAAATGAATATTAATTACTGTTGGTCACAGCTCATCAGCACCATAGTGGATCTGTTATATAGATGTCAATTAACAAGAGGTCTGCACCAATAGCCAGTGTCCTGAATTCCAAGAGACTTAGGCAGGGCCACTCTCAAAGGGCATCCCACCCTCTGGGCAAGGCTCATAAAGGACCCATTGTTCTCACTTCCCTGAAAAGAACGGTGTCCTTTCCACCACCCTCCCCAGCAGCCTCCAAAGCTCGTATAAAGCCAGAACAGAATTTGGCCCCAAACGTGCTTTCGGATCATTTTCCGAATATGCACCATTACTCCACAGTCTACAATGGCTTCTTAGAAAAACAAATGAGCAAGTTCCCATTAGCCAGTGAATGCTGTACCTGCCATGGTCTCTAGTCTCAGAAGCACTGCATGTTTGGCATTAGGAGCTGGCAAGCCATACAGGCAACCTCCCTCAGAAAGACGTCAGTCCCAAAGAAGCAGGGTCCTCTGGACTTTTTAAAATTCTATCTACTAACGGGGGTCCCTTCTACTTATTATTCTGCTCTCCAGTGCCCCATCCTTTGCCACAATACCCCAGTCTCTCCTGAAGCTTTCCCCTCCAGCTTCTTGTCCAAATTGCACTCTTCCTCAAAACCCTAGTTACAAAGATTTCTCTCCAGCTCATTGGCAACTTCAAAGGGACAGCCTCAAAGCAGCCTTATTTCCATTATTTTGCAGGAAACCAAATTGTCTCCCTTTGATTGGCAAGGATGGAATGCAGACTCTGAGATGCTCCAAACATTATCTGCCTCAGCCTTCTAACTTATACCTGCTGGTCCGAAATTCTTCTATAACATGTGCACATAATATCTCTAAGTGAAACACTGTGTGCCTAATTGAATCCTAAAAAAGACCAATGGCCCATCGAATTAATAAGAACAAATAGAAAAGAGGAAAACATGAGAAGAGGCTTTTTACTTAAAAATAAATAGAAATGTTGATAATATGAAAATGTTAAACCCTGCCGATAATTAAACAAAACAATGAACTACTATTTTCACCATTTTGACAAAAAAAAAATAAGGTGCATAATGATACCCAGTACAGTTAAGAGTGTAATAAAATGTGCATTTTCATTAACCATTTGTAGGAGCATTAATTGGTGCAGCCTTATTAGAGGGTAATTTGAAAACATTCATCAAAGATTTAAGTGCACATATACATATTTAATCTATGAATTAGGTAAAGTATGCTAAAATAGGAAAAGAAGAACATTCCTGGCAACATGGTACTAGGAAAAAAAAAACAAACTGGGAACAGCCAAAGTTCCCACCAGTACAACATATAATGGAATATTACACAACTGTTTAAAAGAAATCAGTAAATCTGTATATATTGACATGGAATAATCCCCAAAACATGTTACAAAGTAAAAAAAAGCAATGTCCCAAAGGATGTGGAAGTATGATCTCAGCATAAAAAAGGCATAACATATAGAAAGAAAAAGTGTGTTTTTCTTGAAGGAATCATAAGAAACCAACAATAGGGAGTATCTTTAGAAAAAAAGGTGGAGAGGAAGGAGGATTTCACTTTTCAATGTGTAGTTTTCTGTTCTATTTGAATTTCCTAAGCAGGTATATGTAGTACTTTTTAATTCAATATTAGTAAAATTATCTGAGAAGTGAGTTGATGAACCATGCTTTGCTTTCTTCTTTATGCCTCTCTAGATTAATAAGGAATAAAAATTAAAAAGCTCCTAAGCTGAGGGAGATGTCATATTCCAAAGGTCTGTTCTCAACCCTGCAATGCACAGCAGATCACCTCCTCCCCAGCAACACTAAACTGACAAAAAAAACACCCCTTTCTGCAAAACTAGCTCAGAAACACATCTGCAGAGGGATAACAAGGTTCTTAAAGACACATCTCCTTTTCTTCTGGTCCTAGCACTCAGAATCAGCATTGAGGTGGGATGTGCCTGGGGTGTGGGAAGGAAAGGTGTGAAGCCAACAGTTCAGTGCACTGGGGCCATGATCGGCCAGGCCAGGACTCACCCTAAGTGACTTCTGCAACCCACCCTGTAGACAGGGCTTTTCCCCTAAGTTATCCAAGCAGCCCACCACCTGCTAAATACCCACATCTTGGCCTTCCCCTCTTTAACCTGAGGAGTGGCCTGTGCCATACCCATCAGTCCAAACCCCAGGTTCAGAAGTGCAGAGAAGTTGTGTCCTCCACACACGCAAAGGTCCCTCCGCGCCTGGGGTACAGTGTCAGGGGATGCACCTCATAAAACCGGCAGCACGGGTCCTTGGAGATTACAGGAGGTGAAATGCAGACAAGTGTCTGGTCTTCCCTTCTTAGGAACGCTGACTGAGCTAGCAGGGCTTAAACACGGATCCTTAGCCTCCTTTAGAAAATTCTACTGAACTCTTAAAAGCATCCATGGTTAAGACAAAAACAAACTTTCTGAAATCCCTGGGCATGTTGGCCATCGGAGGCTCAGTTACTGCTCCAGGTAACTGGAGACAAGGTGGACAAGGTCCTCTGATGTCTCAGGCCCCTCAGTGCCTCATTGCCTTTGCCCTCCCCCATGCCTCCCTCGATTTCCTGGCCTCCAAAATTCTCCCACCCCACAAATAAATCAAGGGAGTAGGTTGTCAAAGCCAAATCCTGGTATTCCTCCCAGTTATAAAAGTTCTAATATTGCACGACTTGAGACTCCTGCTCTGAGGAAGATGCTGTTACAAGTCCAGAAGGTATGGCTTTGCATTTGTCTAATGCCCACCCACGGGGTTCCCCCAGGCCCTGTGTGGGGACACCAGGGAGCCAAGCTGTCTCCTTCTCACAAACCTACTCCCACCTAACAATCCAGTGCAGAGGCCACATGAGGGATCCTGAGGCAAAATGTCTTCTAAGGCCTGGAGACCCTCAAACTCAAACCCTGGCCACGGGGCTGCCCCTGGGAGTAGGGAGTGGTTGGCGTCTGGGCTCAAGAAACCCAGTGAGTCACAGGGGAGGAGCCAGGCCAGGGTACTTGGGGTGGTGGTGGGCTGGGCCACCTAGTTCCAGAGGGCAGCAGTGGCCCAGAACAGACGTTAAAGCTTCCCTGAGCAGGACGGCCCTGCCCTCCAAGGGAGAGCAGCCTAGCCATGGGTCATTCACGGCTCGTGGTCGGTGTCAGGAGGATGAGGGCCATCTCCCTACTCCACCTTAGTTTTTCGGGGTGTTTGCAAAACACCGTGAAAGATTGATGCGGCCCCCAGGGCTGGGGAGACCGATTAGAGGCGTGACACCAGCATCTGTGCTGGGAGGACCCGGCGGGTCCCTGCTGTGCGAAGAGCCCCGGGCCAAGCGGCCCAGGCGGGGAGGGAGGTGGGAGGCAGGTGGCGACAGGGCGGAAGGCTGGAGTGAGATGTAGGGAGGAGGCCAGGGGCACGCGTACCCACCTCCCAGCGGCTGCAACCCTCGTGGAGCGGGAACCCACCCAGCCACCTACCCGCCACACTGCCGCTCCGGAGCTTTCTGGCCAGCTCTGGGCCGTTCGGAGTGGTCCCAGGCGCGGCGCTTACTCACCCTCTAGCTGTGGCGGGCAGTGGAAATAAAACATCGCCGACGGCCGGATCAGCTGGACGGCGGGGCCTGGGGAGGGTGACCGCTAGACAGACAAGGAGCGCGTAGCTCCGGCCTGGCTGCAAAGCAAACAGCGATAGGGTCTAAGTCTCCCTCTGCCCGCGCCCCGGACTGGCCCTAGTGCGCACTGGGCCCCCTCCTCCCGGAAGCCACCACCCTCCCAATGCCCTAAGCCCACTGTGGGAACTGGAGGCGACACGGCAGCTCCGTCTTAAGCCCGGTCCCCGTGGGACAGCCCTTCGGTTCGGGTCCACCTCCCGGACAGCGATGCCCCCACCTCGGCCCCAACACCAAACCCGGGCAATCTGGCTCCCGGCTCTCTGGGGTCCCCGCCGCAAGCCCGGCCACCCCAGCCACCGCAGCCGGGTCCAGGGAGCGCGCCAGGCCATCTGCGCGAGCTGCAGTCCGGACCGGGAAGGCAGCCGAACCCCAAGGCCGGGCGCGCGGGGCCGGGTGAGTGGGTCGGGAGCCGCGCGTACCTCGGCGGTCTCCGGACGAGGAAGGCCGGAGCGTGACCGCCTCCGGTCCGCACGCCGGGCTCGGCTGGAAGCGGGCGGGGCTCGGCGCGCCTGGCGCCCGCAGAACCAGAAAGTGACTCGGGAAGTGGCCAGATGTCTTGCTGTCTGTCTACAGCGCGCGCCGCCGCTCAGCACTCGCCTTTATAATCTCACGCATAATTGGCCTTAATCTGATTATTTCCAGCGCTGTCTACAGCGAGTAACTTGGATAGGTCTATTGGGCCTTACAAATGGCCCACGTGGTGTAAAAAAAAAAAAAAAATCCATCATTTCTCAGCAAACATTAGAAATGTTTTTCTTCTTTTAAAAGAGGATAGAAACAACCACCCCCCCCAAAAGGCATTATTTTCTGAACACTCCACCCACACCCACCCCTCTTCCCATCTGACTCAAACCTTCTTTCTCCGTAAAAGCTTGGATTTGGGCTCGCCCTTGTCAGAGGCCTGGCGACTCCCGGGCTGCAAATTGACAAAGCGCTGTTAATTGTAGCCGCCGGATGGGTTTTTGGGGGGACTCTTTGCACACGGCTTCCCTTTCCAAGCGACCGTACAAAAGGAAAGTTTGATTTTGTTCTCAGCAAGGGGTCCCTGAATTTATGTTCGCTTCTCGATGCAAATGATATGCGGTGGGACCCTTCGCAATTACTTTTAAAATGCATCCGAGGCAGACACTCAGCGGAGAGAGACCGCCCTTCCCTCTGCCTGGGTGAAAATTAAACTCTAAAGTACCGGGCTGAAATTTTCAAGTCAGGGGCGCGGAATTGGATCAAATCACATAAACTGCAAAAAAAGCAAGTCTAATGGCGCATAATTGGTTCTGTAATAGCATTACACCAGGATAATAGCCCGTTACGGCCCCCTGCACTATTAAGTGCTTCCCTGGCGGAAAGCCTTTATGATATTAAAGGGGGAATATAATGATATTTTGGTTATTAAATGCGTGTAATTAATTTATGCACCACTGAAAATAAAGTTGGTATTATGACCCACTCAAGATGCATCAGAAGATGCAAGTCAGACAACTGTTGATAAGTTCTGGTGTCTGTGTTCCGTCTAGACTGCTGATTTTATTTTGGGACGATGGCTTCTTGGACAGACTGCATAAATTGAATATTTTATAAACATTCTAATGCTGCGTTCAGGAGCCCTGGCGAGGCGGTGGGTCGGGTCCCTGAACAGCCTGGGATCCAGCCTTGATCTTAAAGACACAGCGTGTCGGAAACAAAAGGCCTGGTGGGCCCACACATGGACATGCGCCTCGGGCGAGGCTTGTCGAGCTGAAGGGCAGAGTGCCGGGGACCTGGGCTGCCGGTGGACAACCCTCTGAAAACCAATGGGAGGAAGGCGCAGCACCGCTCCAGCGGAGACAAGTTAGGGCCCAGGGCACTTCAGCTGCCCTCCTGGGCTCAGGCAGCCCCGGAGTGAGAAGTTGGCCGCGCCACACGGAAGAAACCGCTGGAAACTCTGGCTCAGTTCAGGGCAGAGAGAGTCTGCGGCGCCAGCTCCGCCAGGGTCACCGACTCCGCCAGTCCAGGTGGCCGGCCGCGGGGAACACGCCTGCAGGTCCGGTAGGCGGGTGCGGTAGCAGGAGGGCCTGGCCGGGCAGCAGAGAGCGCCCTTTCCACTTCATCCAGAGAGGGCAGGAGCCCCAAGAGCAGACCTTGTGTCAACCCAGGCCAAGAGGCTCAGCGCGCTATCTGTGTCCCTCCCTGTGTCGCTCAGAGGACCCCTGCCCTCTGGAGCCCTTTCAAAGAGCCCGAGGCTACCCTTGAGTTTCCCAGTCTGCCAAAAGCCCCCTCGGGTTCCCATCTGCCCTAGGCGGCAGCTCCCCGCCTGCGCACCCTGTGCTCTCCAAGAGCTGGGTGCCTGTCAAGCGAATTGAGGAAGGTATCCCGGAGGGCTTGGACAAGATGTTCCAATCGCACCTGGGTAACCGCGCGGGAACCCGCGGCACCAGGCGCCCGGCGCTGCATTGGCCCCAAAAGCCAACGAGTCCAAGCCCCAGTCTCAGCTCTCCATCCCTCATATCCGCCGAAGCAGATTCCCATCAAGGCCCAGAGATGTCCCGGACACCGGGCAGGCTTATCCTGAGTCTGCGAGCAGCTCACTCCCCGCGCCTCCGGGCCTATCAGAACCCTGGACAGCGGCACCGGACCGTCCCGGGCTGCGGAGGGAAAAGATGCCGGTCCCGAAGGCCCCTCTGGGGCTCTGTGAGGCGCAGCAGTGGGACCCCCCTGCCGGATCCCAGGCTTTGGGGGACTGACCCCAATCCTATCCCGATTCAAACCTGCGGAAGTTAACTTGGGACGCGTGCTCCGCGCTCAGAGAAGGAACCAAACTCTCGGCGCCGCAGCCCCAGGCGCTGCTCCTGCCCGGCGGCTACAGCCGGGAAGCGGCCCGCCGCAGGTCGCCGCCTGACCCTAGCCTTCCCAGCGTCCCCGACGCGAGCCCGGCCGTCTCCCTAGAGGGATAACTAGCCAGGCTCCGGAAACACCCACCTCGCGCGGGACTCGTAGTCAGCTCGGACACTCCGCCTCGCCTCGCGCAACGTCCCTCTCCCTCAGCCGCGAGACCGACTCCTTTCTGTTGGCGAAACAGCGAATAAACAAACCAGCGAAGTAACGTAGAAACGAAAGCCTACTGCAAACTTTGATGACGCGACCCCCCTTTTTTCTCCCGATTGTCTCTGACACTCGGCCTCCAAAGGTGACTAATATGTATTCGCTACGGTCCCCCTCCCCCACCAAAAAGGGCGTTCGAAACGAAAAGGTTATTTTTCCTTAATTCTTGTGCGGTAAAATGTATTTTTCAATTAACCAAATTCACCGATCTGTCCCGCTTGGACACTCTGATAATTTACAACCTAAAAGTGTACTTTCTTTATCTAAAGACCAAGGTGACTGCTTTTAATTTTCTCTAACCTCTTTACACTTGATGTTCACCAGACTCATAATGTTAATTGGCTTCATATACGGATCATCAGTTTAATGAAGAAATAAATCCTGTGTTGCTTTATGTTTTAACAGTGATTGCTTTAATGAGGAATGTGACGTGTTCCAAAATCAAAGCTGCAGGAGACATTAGATGGGGCTTCTATTAGGACGGAAATGCTTATTTAAAGTTAAAACCATGGGTCATATTTCAACAGATTCTTACACGGCTGGCCCTCCCCACCCCCACCTGGGTTGCTTCCAGCCCCAGGAAGGAGACAATTCTGTGGTTGGTCCTCAACGCTCCTTCTTCTCCCTATTTAATTCACAGCAGCCGCAGAGTCTCCCTTCCCTCTGAGTCATTTTCTGGTTACTAAATAGACGAGCTACTTTACCTCCTGTCCAGCAGAGCAGGGAGAAGCCAGAATAGGGTGGATTGTTCAACTTTCAAGGTTGTTCACTTTTTTAAAAATAAAACAAAGTGGGAAGAGAGTGTCACACACTCCCTAAGATGTGTGTGCAGATGTGGCTTCCTGCCTTCCCAGCGCATCTCTACCACTGAAAATTCAAACCTCCACTCTTAAAGGCAGACAGCTCCTGTTTAGGCCGAGTGGGCTGCCACTGGCCCACTGGCCCCTGAAAATGACTGCAGGCGATGTGCTATGCTCCCGCTTGGGTGATGGAAATTTTACATCTTTACATCAATTAATAGCAGAGTAAATCTACTTTCTCTAATGGGTGTTTGATTTTTCTAATTTTAAGCTTGTTCTGTGAAGGGAAAACCGTCATCTCAAAAACACTGAGAGCAGCAATAAAATGCTGGAAACTAGAGCATCTTTACCTGAAAGCCCTAAATTGTCTTTCAGTTGAATTATGAGTTATTTTAAATTGATTCCTGAAAAGAATCCCAAATCCTTAGAAAATGTAGAGATTTGAGACTCCAGGTTGATGTCTCAACCATCACACATGGTATTCATTTCTTACCGTTTGCTCTGTTTTGGGGAAACTGGAGAAACATTTCAAGATACCACTGTCCACATCTTTTGAGCCTGGATACATGAACATATGTTGGATTTGACATCTTAGCTGTGCTCAAAAGAGATTTTTTCCCAACCTTCCTTTTAAAACTTTGTTTAGCAGAAACATTTTCAGTAAACATGGTTTAAAACCGTAACAATATTTCCATTTTCAGCGAGGAAAAAAAAACCACACTGAATTCCTAGTTATGTGTTTTAGAAGCGACTGGGTGATTTGTAATGTTGTTTTGTTATTAAATTTTTTTTAAAGCCTCCCTGGTATAATTCCCAGTGGTCACACAGCTCTCCCAAGGCAGAAGGTGAAGCATACGCATGCTCAGTATGGACACCACATATTCTCTAATTGTCAGCTAATCTATTGTCATTTTGTAGTTTTGGAAACTGCCAAGAACACTTGAGTTAGCTAAACATGATCGGATATGTGAAAAAAAAAAAAAAAACAGCAGCTAATTGAAATTCCAGATGAACAGGGAACTATGAACAGAAAAAATATATATACAACAAGGGATAGATATGCATTTTATTATCTTGGAAATTTCCTATCATTCATTAGTTTTACTGTCATGTAAAAGTAATAGCAGCTACTAAAATGCAAGCCAACTTCCAATAGCTTCATCTGCAATAGCCACAGGACCAAGTGTATTCCCATGTGGTTCCCAGGGAGTCTTGCGGCTCAGCTCAAAGCTGCCTAATCCTCCCAAGATAACAAAGCATGCACCTGGCACCTGACAACCCCACCACTTAACAGAATCCCTGCAGAGTCCGTGCATACTAGCTTCATAAACAGGGTGCACTTGAGAAGGCCACTCATTCTTTCAGAAACTCCTTGACTTCCTCTGAGAAAGGAGTTTGAAAATGCCTATATCAAGTGCTGGTGAGGGGATTCAAAACAGTGCTAGATGATGTTCAGGACAGTGAAACTATCCTGAATGATACTACAGCGGTGGGTACATGCCATTACACTTTTGTCAAACCCATAGAATGGACAACACCAACAATGAACCCTAATACAAACTAGGGGCTCTGGGCGATTATGACATGTCAACTCACAGCTCCGGCGAGGGGTGTTGATAATGGG